TACATTTTTTTTTTTTTTCCAACAAGTCGGCCGTCTCCCACCGAGGCAGGGTGACCCAAAAAAGAAAGAAAATCCCCAAAAAGAAAATGCTTTCATCATCATTCAACACTTTCACCACACTCACACATAATCACCGTTTTTGCAGAGGTGCTCAGAATACAACAGTTTAGAAGCATATACGTATAAAGATACACAACATATCCCTCCAAACTGCCAATATCCCAAACCCCTCCTTTAAAGTGTAGGCATTGTACTTCCCATTTCCAGGACTCAAGTCCGACTAAATGAAAATAACCGGTTTCCCTGAATCCCTTCACTAAATATTACCCTGTTCACACTCCAACAGATCGTCAGGTCCCAAGTGCCATTCATCTCCATTCACTCCTATCTAACACGTTCACGCACGCTTGCTGGAAGTCCAAGCCCCTTGCCCACAAAACCTCCTTTACCCCCTCTCTCCAACCCTTTCGAGGACGACCCCTACCTCGCCTTCCTTCCCCTATAGATTTATATGCTTTCCATGTCATTCTACTTTGATCCATTCTCTCTAAATGACCAAACCACCTCAACAACCCCTCTTCTGCCCTCTGACTAATACTTTTATTAACTCCACACCTTTTCCTAATTTCCACACTCCGAATTTTCTGCATAATATTTACACCACACATTGCCCTTAGACAGGACATCTCCACTGCCTCCAACCGTCTCCTCGCTGCTGCATTTAATTGCAGCAGGGGTATACGTATCAAACAAATATTTTTAATTGTACAGTGATACCCCAAGTTTTGTACAGCTCCCAACTCGAACAATTATGTAAGAGCATTATTGTAAGTGCTTTTGTAAGTGCATTTTTGGGGGTATGAAACGGACTAATCTAATTTACATTATTCCTTATGGGAACAAATTCGTTCGGTAACGGCACTCAAACAGCCTTCTGGAATGAATTATGGCCTAAACTCGGGGTACCACTGCATTTAACATGTATTGTCTTTACAGAAGTGAACAGACATAACAATTTGCACACCCCACCAAACCTTAACGTTCTCCATATAAAGACCCCAAATCCAGTTATCCTGTTTTCCTTATTTTTTTTTAACACACTGACTGTTTCCCACTGAGGCAGGGTGACCCAAAAAGAAAGAAAAACCCAAAAAGTAAGAAAAAACTTTCATCATCATTCAACACTTTCACCATCACACATACATAATCACTGTTTTTGCTGAAGCACTCAGATATGACAGTCTAGACATCCCTCCAAACTGCCAATATCCTAAACCCCTCCTTTAAAGTGCAGGCACTGTACTTCCAATTTCCAGGACTCAAGTCCAGCTAACCGGTTTCCCTGAATCCCTTCACAAAATATTACCCCGCTAACACTGCAACAGTTCATCAGGTACCAAAAACCATTCGTCTCCATTCACTCCTATCTAATTAATGTTGGTAGAATTACCGACAGTATGTAAAGCAAAAGAACACAAGTGCAACTAATGTAACATTTTTATTGTGGCAATGTTTCACTCTCTAGGAGCTTTGTCAAGCTGTTACAAACAGTACATGGATACAGAGGGTATATAGAGGCTCAGAGTGAGGTTCAATACTAGTGGTAGTAGTAGTAGTGATAAAAGTTGTAGTAGTAGTAGTAGTAGTGATAAAAGTTGTAGTAGTAGTAGAAGTAGTAGTAGTGATAAAAGTTGTAGTAGTAGTAGTAGTAGTGATAAAAGTTGTAGTAGTAATACAATATGGTAGAACAATTAACTTGCACATGAGTAAAAGGATATATTAGCTATTACTTGGGTAACATAAAAATAGGTTACACAAATATTTCTATAGGAGGCTGGATAGAGGCAGCCTGTTTCAATGTTCATTCTCTGTAATGTGCTTGTGTAGTATTAGCAGGAGAGACTATGTGATGGCAGGGTTTACTGTTTTCAGGAGGATTCTTGCTTAAACTTCAGAGATGGTGAAGCTGCCTTTGTTTTGTTTAATTGTATTAGTGATGATTCAAGGCACTTGCATCTGCAGAAATTAGTTTCTTTGATCACTAATTGGGCATCCCAATTAGTGATCCCAAATGGTGGAATTTCGGTGTTGTACGCAGGCGTTGTTCAAGTTGTCATTCCTACATGCATAAATGTGTTCATTGAGGTGGGTGTCAAGGTTTCTTGCTGTTTCACCTACATAAATCTTGTCACAGCCTCCACAGGGTGTAGTGTAAACCCCTTCGTTGACTGGTTCGTGGTGCTTTAAAAACGTTTAGAGGGGTTTACACTATAGCTTGTGAAAATACGTACTTTAGAAACATTTCTCAAGTACTTTCACAAGCTAACACCAGAGTCGCCATCACTTCCAGCACTTCAATAAAGAATCTAACTAGGACAAAATCAAAGCACCACGAACAAGTCCACGCAGGGGTTTACACTATATCCTGTGGAGGCTGCGACAAGATTTATGTAGGTGAAACAGCAAGAAACCTTGACACCTGCCTCAATGAACACATTTATGCATGTAGGAACGACAACTTGAACAACGCCTGTGTACAACACCGAAATTCCACCAATCATGGGTCTACAGCATTCAACACCTTACTAGATATCAGAAACTCTACTGGAACCAGTGTAGAAGTCTGCAAGAGAAACTTAAGAGTTCTCTCTGCCAAGTGCTGGATCAACCAGCTCTGGGTTGATCTGCAGGACCAGGAATGCTCTTGAAACCATAAAAGGTATATCAAAGGTAAAGGTAGATTTCAACAACCCCCCACATTAATCCCTGTTATACTTTATTCATAACCTTACTTATTTCTTCACTACTTTTTTCCCCAAAATAAAAATTCACTCTGCAACACTGGTGCCCCGGGGCCTGGTGGTAAAGTCTTGCTTCAAGGTGAGTCGGGTTCGATTCCCCGGTGAGGGTAGAAACATTGGGCATGTTTCTTTAATGGTTGTCTATGCCCTCATCGAAAAATGGGTACCTGGGGGGGATAGTCAATTATGGGGGCTGCATCCTGGGTCAAAACGACTAATTTGCCCGAATGTTTTGCATAAAAAAGAGGTTTCCCTATATGTGTATGTATGTCATTGTATCACTGGGGTTGTAACCTTGTACTGGCGTGAAAAAAAGATTATTACATTTTATTATTGTTATTATTACGTATTATATTATTTATCACGATTCATGCATGACATCACTGTGTCAGTTTTCCCCCCCTGCTATCACTCCCAAACACTCAAAGACCATAATAAACACCCCTACACAAGCGTTTCACTTTATACCAAAATCATCCAAATTCCTTCATTATTACATCAAGTAGCTATCTGTTTTTACCCGAGAAAGGGAATTTTCGGGGATCCTTAATTTGTTTCACCATTAAGCTGAACAACAAAAAACCCATTCATAAATTTTTGAGTCTAACATTTTATTTTGGGTACCCAGATACATGTGTGTCCAAGAAAAAGGAATAAAGTGTTTATAACTAATGAAAAACTACATAAAATTTTTTAAAGCACGGGGTTATTCAGCATACAATTTGCTCATTTTTTTTTTTTTTAAATTATGGATGGGCGCAAACCCCTAGGTATACCCCAAAAAAGATTGGACTTAAGACATGATGAAGTTCATCCCTCGCACACGTTCTTGGTTCCTACCCCTTGTGGAGACTAGACCCCGAATATAACTCCCGGCGGAGAATCCCACTGCAAAAACACACAACCTTAACTACTGTTAAAATTAAAAATTAAATTATGCTTTTTATTTTGATAACTTTTATAAATTTTAACAAGCAACACACGTGGTTTCTAAAGGATGGTAATAGAAAAACTTCCGAAAAAAACCTTTTTACAATTCAGGGGATTTTCTGAAGGAAAAGTTTTTTCGTACGTACACAGGGGTCATTTCAAGCAAGACAAGTAAGCAGTGCCCCCCATTCAAAAAAAAGTGTCCTTTTTAAATTTGGGAAATCTTAATATACAATAATTCTTATTACAAAACGTTTCCACTATAAACTGGCTAAGGCAATAATAAAATTTTTTCTTTCCATAAAGAAAAAAAATTAAAAATTCTTTTTAAAGAGTGAGTGAACTAGTCTTTGGTGTATTAAAAAAAAGGGAGAGAATAAAGAAAGGCAAAATTTATAAAAAAATTTTTTAAAAAAAAATACAGGGACAGTGTGGAAAAATACTGTTATAAAGTTCTCAAAATTGCAATTTTTAAGAAAAGGAGTTTCTGAAAATTAAAAATTGCAATATAATTGCAAGACTACAAGCAATTTTTTCCCCAAAGATTTCCATGTGAAACAACAGCAATATAAAATTTGAGAATTTTAAATTGAAATTTACAATATGACAAAGCAATTATTCAACGGCTTCTATTTCACTATATTACTAAAGAAAATTTTAACAAAACAACCCGTAATAAAAATACCAAAAAAAAGTGGGCCTCTTGTAGTGTTTAATTTGAAGCTTTTTTAAGGG